CAGTATTCTCAATCAGGTGGGCTTTCTAATTACTCAATTTGACTTTGGCAGAATACTTCCGATTAGAAAAGATTACAGATTATGTATTAGAAGCAGTATTAATTTATATACATCTCTTAATGTTCTTCCCAATTAGACACCTATCCACCATCCAGAGCATCATATTAGGCCTATTTCCAAATTATTAAAATAACCACATCATACTTCCTATAAATCAAATTAACACTGAAAATACTAAACCTTCTCCGAACATGTTTTCCAGCAAACAATTATTTTTGCTGTTGTTTTAAACAACACTAAAATATCGTTTCATAACTCGGGTTGAGAAATCGATGTGCAAGTTTAATGATTATATTTCTCTATAATTGAATGTAAGGAGGACCAAGATGGGGGAGGGGCGTTTCTAGCACATCCACTTACCTTTTTGAGCTTCTGGTACCTCTCTTCTGGAGTGTCAAAACCATTTGTTAATGTGGTGACTGAAGGTCCATCACTGATTCCTAGATTTTAAGAAATAAAAGCTTTTAACTTGTTAGTAAATACTAATGTAAAAATGTCAGTCAACTATTCAATGGCTCTGTAATTTTATATTCTCATGTATTACAAAGTGCTCCTCACTTCATTCTTTCAAAATTAGCATTCATTTCACTGGCCACCAAGCTAAACTCTATAACACATTTAGAAATGTTAGTGTTTCTATTTCAGAATCAGCAGTTCCAGCGTCTAAAATAGGTTTCAAAACACAGGAATAATTTAAGAAAACAATATCTATGATTAAGTTTTGCTGCTTTCAAAAGTTTAATGCATAATCAGATATCAACAAATTCTGAAGTCTATTATTGTTAGAGTCCCAGTCTTGGCCAACAGTTTTAAGTAACATCTATACAACAAAGGTATTTTCTAGGTAAAAGAAAATTATTTCTGGTGAAAACTCTTAGCTTCCCAGAGAATTGAGTCCAACTAGAAAAGGCATGTATGTATAATTAAAGCCAACGATCTACAGGGTGTCCCCCCAAAATGTATACACACTTCGAGATTACAAAGTCAGTATTTATTAGCATACAGTTCATTTTCAAAGAATCAATAGAAATGAGTGTGTATTCATTTTTGGGGGGACACCCTGTATTTACTCCCAGCATGGATTCCTTTAGAAAGAGCTGAAGAGTTTTTTAAACATGTAAAATCAGAGTGAAAGTGGATATCTACACCAAAGAAAGTCTACTGTTCGTATTAACTTTAACAATTTAAAAATTAATCTCTAAAAAAAAATTAATCTCTGATCCAAAAAGAAAAAGTCCTTGCAATTGTACGTGTTGGTAAAGTATTATACACACATACACACCCACGCCAAGGTAGGCAATGAACACTTCCACAAATGCATAAAGCCTGCCCCAGAAGTCGGTCACAAAGGACAAATATTGTATGATTCCATTTATAGGCAGTGCCTCCAGTAGTCAAATTCATAGACAGAAACAGTGGTTGCCAGAGGCAGGGGAGGAGGGAGGACGTGGGAGTTGTTCAAAGGATAGAGCCTTCCAGTTTGGGAAGGTGAAAAAGTTCAGGAGATGGATGGTGGAGATGGTTGCACAAAAATGTGAACGGACTTAATGCCACTGAACTATTTTTACATGGCTAAAATGGTCAATTTTATGTTATGTATTTACCTAACACACACACACAGAGCCTGACCCTAACCCTGAAGCAGCACCAAAACCATATTCTACCAGCAAGCCTCAGAGCCCCAACCATCAAAAACCCGCTTCCCTGCCTTTGAAACGCGTAAGAGGAAATGCTGAGGCTCGAGGAGCTTCTCCAAGGCTACAAACAGGGGGAAGGGGCCAGCGAGCAGAAGGCAGGGCAGGGTGTCAGGAGGAGCCCTGGCCCCGCGCTGCAGGGGGATGGCCGCGAGCCTGCAAGGAGGGATACCTGAAAACTCCCCATCGATGGCAAAGAAGTCCGCCTCCTCTATGGCCTGGTACACTTTGTGAAGATGACTCTTAAAATCTGCGGAGAAACCGAGAAGCTCAGAACCGGGGGGCTTGGCTTTCTGCCCACACTCGCCTAAGGGGAGAGGGGAGGAGGACCCATGAGCTCCTAAGGCCTGGGGCCCGAGGACAAGTGTACTGGGGGGGGGGGGGGGGGAAAGGAATGCAGGGAACCTAGAGCGTCCAGGCCCTAAGGGGCGCGTGGGCCGGAAAGGGACAAGCACTGAGGGTGTACGGACCAGGGAGGAGCAAGGCCCTGAGGGGTGCCGGAAAGAGCGCAAGGCCCCGAGGGGGGCACGGGCCAGAGAGAGACAAGCACCCAAAGGACACTCAGGCTTAGGGGGGCCACACTCGGGAGAGGCTGCCTCAGCCCCAGGCCCCACCAAGCAGATTGGCGGGCCGTGATCTGGGCCTAGGAGGCCGAGTGAGGGGGACCGTGGGGACGCGGGGAGGTGCACGGCCGACACGCACTGCTCCTGATTATCTCCATCCCGTAGGGTGGCCGGAAGCCGGGCCGCCCGGGCCGCCTCGGCCGTTCTACTCGCGGAGTTCCGCAGCGACGGCAGCGGCGGCTGAGGTACCAGCTACAGAGATCGCAGCGGCGATTTCCGGGAACAGCGCGCGCCGGCGCGCAGTCACGTGCGCTAGCGTCACGGTAGGGGCGGGGCCAAGGCTGGGCTTCCCTCACTCCTTCCAGGGACAGAGGAGGGGCGTGGCTGTCGAAGTCCCTAGCCATAGGCGATCTAACTTAGGAGGCCAGGTCGTGGGGCGTTCTGTTTGGAAGAAATATGCATACCCTGACATCCAATCAAGGAACAAATGTTTCCTGGGTTCCTATTATATTCCAGGCACTCTGTAAGGAATGCGGATACAGTGATGAACAGAAGACAAGGTCCCTGGCCCCACTGGAGCTTAACTTGGGGGATGAGGGGAAAGTCAAGCAGGAATCAAACTTGCCACTTGGATGCATGATAATCTTTTTTAAGAGAAAGAGCAGGATGATTCAATAATAATAATAATGTGAGAGAGTGTTATTTAAAGAGGTAATGAGGGCCCAGCCAGTGTTGCTCAGTGATTGAGTTTGGACGTATGAACAGAAGTTCCCGGGTCTATTCCAGTCAGGGCACATGCCTGGGTTGTGGTCTGGATCCCCAGGAGAAGGCCTGCAAGGGGCAGCAGATCAGTGATTCTCTCTCATCACTGATGTTTCCATCTCTCTCTCCCTTCCTTTCTGAAATCAATAGAAATACATTTTTAGCGGCCTGGGAACTGAAGGGCCTGGGGACTGATGGGTCCCGGGTGCCATTCCAGTCAAGGGCACATGCCCGGGTTGGGGGCTCAGTCCCCAGTAGGGGGCCTGATCTATAATACTTTCTCAACATTGATTTTTCTATCGCCTCCTCTCCCTTCCTCTCTGAAACCAATAAAAATCTATTTTAAAAATATATACATTTTTTAAAAAATTAAAAACACTTGTGTATCAAAGGACACTATCCAACAAGGTGAAATGGCAACCCATGCATGGAATGGGAGAAAATATTTGCAAATCATATATCTAATAAAAGGTTAATATCCATAACATATAAAGAATTCCTACAACTCAGCAACTCAAAAACAAACAATCCTATTACAAAATGTACAAAGGACTTGAATAAATATTTATCCAAAGAAGATATACAAATGGTCAGCAAGCACATGAAAAGATGATCATTGTCACTAATGCAAATCAAAATCACAATGAGTTACCATTTCATATCCATTTTTTGAGAAATTAGAACTTCCTGCACTGCTGGTGGGAATGTAAAATAGTGCAGCCACTATGGTCGTTCTTAAAAAATTAAAAATAGAATTATATGATGCAGCAATTCCACTTCTGGGTATACACCAACAGAATTGAAAGCAGAGGTTTTTGAACTTCGCAAAAAAGAAAAATACCCTATGTAAAGTACACTGCAGACTTGTAATATTATCTTAATTTCTGGGTAAATCTATTTGCTAATCCATTTATTAGCAGCATTTTTCACCATAACCAAAAGGTGGAAACATCCCAAGTGTCCATCAACAGATGAATAAGCAAAATGTGATATGTACATACAGTGGAATACTATTCAGCCTTTAAAAAGAAGGAAATTCTGCCCAGGCTGGGTTGCTCAGCTGGTTGGTGTGTCATCCTGTACACCAAAGGTTGCAGGTTCAATTCATTTATGCTAAGTGAATTAAGCCAGTCAGAATAAAATACTGTACAATTCCAGTTATATGTGGTACCTAGAGTAGTCAGATCCATAGACATAGAAAGTAGATGGTGGTTACCAGAGGCTGGGGGAAGGGGACCATGAGGAGGTGTTAAATGGATATGGAATTTCAGTTTGGGAAAACGAAAAAATCCTGAAAATGGTTGGTAATGATGATTGCATAACACTGTGGATATACTTGATGCCACTGAACTGTACACTTAAAAACAGAAAAAAATGGTAACTTATATTACGTATATCTTACCACACACACACACACACACACATATGCTGACACCTATTACCAGATTATCCTCCAGAAAATGAGTTCACACACTTCCGGAACTGACACAGGTCATTACCAAATCTGTTTACTCTTTGCCAATTTCATAGGTAGAAGTCATCCAAATGACCAACTTAACAATCTCCAGACCACCCATTTAAAACAGATTAACTCAGCATGAATTCTCAACGTATCAAGAGGCTCGAGGAAACAAAGTGGAAAAGTCATTTTAATTCCGATTCTTAATACTGTAAATGGAACTTTAGGCATGGTCCCCTGATTTTCTGCATAGAAATGTGAATGCAAAAAAAAACCCTATGTGAAGTACACTGCGGACTTGTAATGTTATTTTAATTTCTGTGTAAATCTAATTTGCTCCAGACTTAGAAATAGCACCTAGGCTGGAGGGAACACACATACAGGAACCTCAGCCTCGGGGTGTTAACGCACTGCCCCTTCGGGGTCCCTGAAGAGGAAGGGGCGGGGCTGATGTTGCTACGCATGCGTCGAACTCCTCGGCGGGGAGTGGCCGCTCTAGGCAGCGGGGAGGTCGCGGGGTGGGGGAGCTGGGAAACCAGTGCGACCTTTCCTCTATGGTCGGAGCCCCGGGCACCTTCTCTGGCGTCTTAGGTTACTTCCGGAAGTGAAGCTGCCACCTCCTCTACTTCCGCGGGGTCCAGCCTGGGGCAGCGGACGGGTGGGCCCCGGCTTGAGCGCAGTGGTAAGCAGCCGCGCGGCGGGTGATAGCGAGAGGGCGACCCAGGCTCGAATGCGGGGCGAGGTATACAGAACGGGCGTGGGGTTCGAGGTCCAAGGAGGCGCGCGGGGCTTTCCTTATCCAGGCCCAAGTTCTGAGCAGCCTGAGC